TTCTCTTCTTTGAGTGACCGCGGCGAAGTTAGCTGCAAAAGAGGGAGGGGGAAGGGGGGGGGGCGAGGGGGATCGGTGAACGTTGTGAGTCTCTCTTGATTAGTCTTGATTACCGTTTTGTTCTTCAGCATTCCGAGTCCTTGAAGTTCATTGCTGCAGATATCACCTGCCTCCATTCTAACTCTGGTTGGCCTTTTTAAGTGTTCCAAGCCCTTGAGGTTCATTGCTGCAGATACCACCCGCCTCCATTCACCTCTTTGGTTGGCCTTCTCTTTTCAGTTGGTGACACCAAATGTCTGAGGATCTGTCTGGAAGTTATCGCTCCATAGTCTTCTTATTATTCCTCGTAGTCTACCGCCATTCGTTTCCCTTGTGTATACAGTTTTTCCCTCTCTGTTAGAGTAAATACAACAAAGTAAATTCTCGTTCTTTCTGTTTTCTGCCTCTCTCCGCCCATCTCTCTCCACTTCTTTCTATCTCTCTGTATCTTCCGTGCTCTCTCTCTCTCCCTCTCTCCCTCTCTCCCTCTCAATACGGTGAAATAAAACTACGTAATTTGAAACCCTTCATTTTAACAAGGAGTTCGTTCTTTTTCTTGCTCTGTCTCTGCCTCTCTCTCTCTCTCTCTCTCTCTCTCTCTCTCTCTCTCTCTCTCTCTCTCTCTCTCACTATATATATAAAATTAGGTAGCATTATTTCACAGTATTCAGAGAGACTGATAAATATATATATCAGTCTCTCTGAATACTGTGAAATAATGCTACCTAATTTTAAACCTTTCATTTTAACAGGGATTTCGTTAGTTTTTTTTTTTTTTTCACTGCCCTTCTGTCCATCTCTCACTCATTCTATCTCTCCCAATACACTGAAATGATGCTATCTAATTTTAACCCCTATATTTTAACACTAAGTTCGTTAGCTCTCTCTCTCTCTCTCTCTCTCTCTCTCTCTCTCTCTCTCTTTCTCTCTCTGTTAATACGGGAAAATAATTGTGCCTAATTTTAAACCATTCATTTGAACACGCAGTTCGTTCATTCGTTCTCTCTCTCTCTCTCTACCTCTCTCCCTGTCTCTCTCTCTTTCAGTCTCTCCCTCTCTCCCTATCTCTCTCTTTCTCTCTCTCTCTCTCTCTGTGTGTGTGTGTGTGTGTGTGTGTGTGTGTGTGTAAACTAATAATCTTCTCTTGCATTCTGCATATTCGTGAATTTTCTCAATTCTTGTTTCTCCTTTGTCTGTTTGTTCACGTTTCTTCTCCTGCACCTTTTCATCTCCATTATCACCACCACCACTATCACCACCACCGCTACCATCATCCTCATCATCATCACCATCCCCATCATTATCACCCAAATCATTATCCTCTTTATCTTCATCACCATCACCACCATCATCAACATCATCATCATCACCATAATCATCATTACAGCCACCAATATCATCATTATCATGACAACCACCACCAAATTCTCATCATCATTATTATCATGATCTTCATCAAGTACCTTAAAATAACACTGTCTATATTTATGTGTGTTCAAGTTTAAGTTTCATTTCATCTCTTTAGCTCTATTGAATATATTCTCTTTATTTATGCTGGTCGAAACAGGAACAATGATAAACAAGAGATGGAGACGCCAAGCACAACTACCAAAGCCGGTTGATCTGAAGAAAAACCTACAATACACACTACACAGTCAACAACCCAGAATCGTTAACAATCATTCGAATCCTGACAATTCTAACCACAACAAAATATTAACAAGGAAAGATGTAAACCGTTTCAAAAGAGCTTGGCTTGGGAACAATAACAATACACACACCAACAAGCTACGAATACGACGATCGGTGAGACTGATAACCTTAGAAAATGCTGATGGGTCAGACGTGTGGGAGATTGACCCGCCTAACATTGGTAAGTTTGTGAATAGAACAATTTACCAAAATTGTGTTAATTGATTGATCGATGTTTGACCCTACTAGGATATCCCACCAAGCGGTAAACACCCGATGACACAACATGTCTCATCATGCGAATGAGGATCAGCCTTGGAAAGGTCCCAAAAAACCCAGTTCAACCCATAGGTTGGGTTAAATTAGGGCCCCTGGCAAGAACCGGGATGGGGCTTCAAAATAACGTCCGACATGGAAACATAGAAATTCAATAAAACAATATGTTTCTGAGAATTTCTTCCATGATCTCAGATGGATGTCATTTGAAATTTAGAATGATTATTTAAAAAGAAAAAAAAATACATTTATAGTCCTTAGTACTCTTTCTGAATATCTCTTTACTTTCTATCCGATCCGTCCTAAGTGTGTCCACTCTTTGTCTGCATGTCTCCTTGCCTCTATATCTTTCATAATGGCATTGCCCTCTCTGTCTTTCTGTCTATTGTTATTTCACAGGTGCCTCCGTCAAACTGCAGGTCCTTATATCTCACTGTTTATCCGTCCGTCTGCTTGTTCGTTCATCCATGCATGCATCCATCCATCAATCCATCCACTCACACACCCAATCACCCCTCCACCCACCCATCCATTCATCCATCCATCCACGAACCCACCCATCCATCTATCCATCCACTAACCCACCCACCCATCCATCCATCCACTAACCCCCCCCCCCATCTATCCACCCATCCATCCACTAACCCACCCATCTATCCATCCATCAATTCATCCACCTGACATTTTCTGCTCTCCAGTATGTTGCTAGCTGAATCATCAACTAATTTTGCGACCATTTCTCACTGGAAAAAATTATAATTCTCTTATCATTAAATTGATTTTTATCATTACATATTTTATAATTATCAATCTTTAATTATTCCCAATTATAAAAGTGTCATGTTATCTCTCATGTCTTGCTAGCAGTAAAACATCGACGTCAACAAACCAGTTTAGTTGTGTATCCTTTACAGGACGTTGCAGAACCAATCCTAACATCCCATGGCTGTTGTATTGTTTTTATAGGCAAATTTACGTCCAGTAGTTTGTCATTGCTTTCTTGACGTCGGCTTTCTTGATTCTACTGTCGGAACCAACGCAAGGCGCATGGCCCGCAACTGGGATCGAACCCGGCACGTCAACATACCACTGGTACAAACATTAGAAAGAACAACATCTTCAGCTATTATAACTAGTAATGCAGCCAGTGTGCTTAAAGAAATAGCTACTGCAAGAACATTTGAACAGGCTAAATGCAACATGCAGAAGATGAAACATGGTTTATATTGTACTAAAACTAAAGTACTGCAGGTCAGTAGAACTCCTAGTCCGCTACTTGTCGGGTTGAATGGCACTTGTCGGGATCAAGTTCAAGAATTAAATAAATATCTATGAAGCATATTCTCATAGGACGGAAGAATATATCGGAAAAAGAAATAAGATACCAACAAGCCAAACATAAGTATGAGCTCCAAGAAACAGATTATAAACAGCATAATCATACCAACACTGTGCCACCAGTGCCAGACGTGGACATTATCAAAGGCTAACCTACATAAAACCAATACCTGTGAAATGAGATGAACGAGAAAAGCCGCCATCTTAACTGTCTGAGACAAAGTAAGAAATTGTATTATCAGACATACTGTAGAAACAACCCATTGCAGCGAAATAATTCAGAAACAGAAGATCAAATATTTTGGTCAGCTAGTGAGAATCTTTCCCATTGCAACATACGCCTGTGAGACCTGGACACTTACTAAACAAGCGGAACAGCGCATAAATGCATTTGAATATAAATGTTACAGACAGGTTCTAAGAATATCTTGGGTAAAGAAAAGAACAAATGCATCCATACTTCAAGAGCTGAATTTTGAAGAGGGTTGGCTAGTAAAGACAATAAAACAAAGAAAATTGAAATATTTTGGTCACTTGAAACGTCATGGAAGTCTAGAGAGAACAATAATGGAGGGGTATATGCCTGGGAAGAGAGGAATAGGAAGGCCAAGGAGAAGATGGGTGCAGGATGTGGCAGATGATCTCCAGATGGGTGTATCAGACACAGGACATCTTGCTCAGGATAGGAAGGTTTTCCGGAGGGTTGTTATGGCAGCGAGGTTCCGCGAGGGACATGCTACTGAATGAATGAATGAATGAATGAATGAATGAATGAATGAATGAATGAATGAATGAATGAATGAATGAATGAATGAATGAGTGAGAATGGAGCCAGAACAATTACCTTTGCAGGCGCTGCACATCAAAGGATCTGAAGAAAAACCAAGAGGCTGCCCTAGGAGAAAATGGACTGATGGCATTAAAGAACTTCTACATAGACACGAAATGACAATAACCATTGCTGTCCAATGAATCGCAAATTGTTTCTCCCCACAACGCTTAACGGCAAAAGTGGAAATTACTGACGATGACTACTTCACTAACTATAACGAATACAATTTCAGTTACTAATACTACCACTTCACCACCTCTACTACTGCCACCACCACCACAACCATTAATACAAATGTGTCAGCTACTATATCAACTATATAAAAACATTAGCAACAACAACAAATGTCTTGAAAATTGCAACTACTGTTACTGCATCAGTACCACCACCACAACATCTGCCACTACCACCTCCAACAAACTACTACTGCTGCTGCTACTACTTTACTTCTGCTGCTGCTGATACTGCCACCACTGCTACCACAAACACTACTAACTGTTGCTGACGTTACAACAACAACAATAACAACAGCGATAACAACAACTACTACTGCTACTACTACTGCTGCTGCTACTATTACTTCTACATCATCAACAACAACTACTACCATTGCTACTGCTAATACTACTGCATGCACTCATCCTAGCAAACCTTCAGTAAATTTAACACAAAAATCCAGCATGCAACGACAACTATGGCAATCGTCAGAGAAAGTATGGGGAAGATGGGGTGGCAGGAGAGACAGAAGAAAACCATCCCCATATCAACCAGCCATGGTTCGGTTATAAAGATCTTCATCAGCTTCCGTTGTTGTGGTCTCCAGGACGGTGGTCAATATCCATTGACGGCCCCGAGCCTGCCCAGATTGCGGTGACGGCCATCAGCAGCTTAGATTTCACGTTTGAGTTCTTGGACATAGGGACTGAGTCCAGCATGACGTCACAGCCTATTGCTTGTGAGCTTCTTGTTCCGTGTTTTCATTATAGGTGTCATCACTGTCTGTCTGTCTGTGTGTGTGTGTGTGTGTGTGTGTGTGTGTGTGTCTGTGTGTCTGTGTGTCTGTGTGTCTGTGTGTCTGTCTGTGTGTCTGTCTGTGTGTCTGTCTGTCTGTCTGTCTGTCTGTCTGTCTGTCTGTCTGTCTGTCTGTCTGTCTGTCTGTCTGTCTGTCTGTCTGTCTGTCTGTCTGTCTGTCTGTCTGTCTGTCTGTCTGTCTGTCTGTCTGGCATCTAATATAAGATTAAAACACTTGTCGTGTGGGGTCCTGTGTCACATTTGTGAAAATTGGTTGGGATGGGGGAATTATACTCACTTCCCTAACATGTAGTAAAAGACTATGGATCATCTGTCTTATCACTGAAGTCGAAGTGCATCTGTCTGAAAGGTGGAGAAAACAACAGTCTGCATACAAATACGCTAGATCTGTAAAACTGTTGAGCACACAAAACTTAGTGTCTTGAAAAAAGGAGCCAAAGTCCAGGAGTGGACAAACCACCAAAAGTTGAATGTTAAAGAGTAAGGAAGAGGAGAAGTCTCCATTAACCCCATCTTGTTGTCTCCCCTGTCACAAAGATGAGACAACCCTTGTACGCCTGACTGTGACTAGCCAACCGTGTGTAGCCAACGTGACGATGTTGAACCTCCTCAGCGACGCAGGGGAGATTATCTCGGCTGTGGAGTCTAACGACGTAGGACTTCACCTCGACCAGATGGCCACCCCTGGCAAAGGTTCCATCTTGTTTTGGCTTCAGATGCCTGATGTTGTAAGTTAGTTCATTAGGTAGCTTGTTAGGTAGGTATATAGTTCATTCGGTGGCTAGTTACTGTACGTTAGATTGTTTATTCGGTACATAGATACTCTACGTTAGATAGTTAGTTCGATGGTTAGATACTGTATGTTAGGTAGTTCATTCGGTAGTTAGCTAGTGTGATTTCACTAGGCAACATTACATTGATTTGTTAGGAGGGCTGTGTGGTCTCGAGGCATGGTGTCCGCCTCGAGTGCTAGAGGTTCCGTGTTCAATCCCCTGTAAGGGCTAAGAGTTTTTCACGTGGACTTTGACTTCTAGCAATTCTCATAGTAAGATCAGACACCCGTGTGTATTGCACGTAAAAAAATAATTTGGCAGTTGGAAATAAAAAAAAGAGAAGCCTAACGGCGCTGCCCGGGCAAAATTTGGTGTTAAAAATCGACTCAAAGTATTTCAGGATCCTCGCCACACTGTGCTGAGCTTCTTCTGACTTCGACTTGAGTTAGAAGAAGACCTAATGGGTTACTACCCGTATGCAATGATGTTGATCCGTTGTTCAAAACGTCAAACCTCGACATTGTTTTTTGTTTTAGAAATATCCTCTACCCAAGGGACAGTTAACTCGATCTCCCGAATTTTCACCTTTTCGTTATATTTCTTTTCCAACTTAGGAGATGAAGGAGGAAAAGGGTGGGGGGGGGGGATAATAATGATTCAGTTTCTGCAGAAGCTGTTGCTATTCCCAACTGTGGCGATGAAGTTGAGCTCTTCTAAATATGGGATTTCTTTTGCAGACAAAACTTCCACAGAGGCCCTTAGAATGATGAATGCTTCACCATAAACATTGAGCCCAACTTTGAACACATTCTCACATAAACAATAGATTGCACCTGTAATGCTGCATATTTGGGTTGAACTGAGAGACGACTGCAGAAACGGGTCGCTGAACATATTCCACTGTGGGTGGTAAATGCAATACAAAGTACTAAGAAGAACAACTCAACAACAACGAATCAGGTGACTGGTCGAAAAAAGTATCCGTCATCCATTGCACGCCACCTTTTGAATTTTTGGCACATTGTAAATAAGGACGAGTCATTTTGAACTCTCTATACCTCAGCCAATCGCAGACTATTGCACTTCATAAAACCAACGGCGATAAATATACTAGGGTTTTCCCGTAATTTATTCTTCACCTCGAAACCGCAAAGTACAAGGGGATCAAGATGAGATGAGAGCGGCTATAAATCAGTTTGGTTTAATATTGTGCAGACAAAATGATATGGTCGTCAACTTGCAGTTGCCCTGGTGAAGCAGGCAGTGAATGTAGTCAATTGTGTATGTTATCTACACAGCCATCTCTAGATATAAATATAAATAGCCTGAAGATGGGCGTCGTTATTTAGAAGAATTTATTTGCTTGATTTTAATCGATTATTACTGTAGTATACACCTGAAGAGATACAGCGAAATATGTCAGGCACTAAAATGGGCAATCCATTGTTTGTGTATTCTTTGCTTTCATTCACAAAGGGGACACATTGCCGTATTCTGACATACTGTTAACATTCTCATGTGGGCTATCGACTCTATTTAAGGAAAAGTAAGAAGACACAATGATCCTTAATAAACTTATCTTTAAAGACGATGAATTAAATCTGTGATGACATCCATTTTGTGGGGCCAAGACTCGCACGTATAGCAGCCTAGCTGTAAACCACACGACATACCAGTGCATATTAAGGGCGAACGAAGAGGACATTGATATTGTAGATATTCAGAAACCCGTCTATTATTTTCAGCCATTTTACATGTCAGCTTCAGGATATGACGTCACAGGTCAAAGGTTTCAAAGACTCAGTCCTGAACGTGTGGTGCCCCGGATGTTTGCGCTCTCATTTGTCAACTTCAGATCAGGTAAAACATTTCAATTTCCTATTTCATGTACTCTGCAGAGTGGCTGCATTCTTATCTTTATCATCACTATCTTCATCCAGTAACATTGCATGTCGTTGGATCAACAGTTGCTGTTGACTGTCGAATCAGCTTCCTCCATCTTTGACGGCAAAATGCGATGAACTTCATGATTGCATGCCTGAAGCCTGTCCATTCAGTCAATTTCTGTGTCCAGTTCTTTCTTGGTCTGCCTCTTCTCCTCTACTGAAACAGAGTATTATTGCTTTTGAGAGACCCTTAGATCCTACTAAATTATTAGTATTATTGGGTTATTAGCCATTACTTTAGTCTTTTCGTGTTCATTTCCATGCCTTACTGTGTCAATGTTGCATCAAGCATGTTTACGAGTTTGACTAGCTCTTGTTCGTCCGCGGCCGACACGTCAAAGTCGTCTGCAAACCTTACATTTGTTATGATTCGTCTCTGTCAAGAACCTACATGTCTAGGGTTTGATTCTACACGGCTGCGCTGCAGGCTAATGACAGATAAACACTGTTAACGAACACACCCAAACCAAACAGAGGTTGCAACACACACATCCTCTTTACTATCTAAGGATACGAACTCATAGAGGTATGTACCTCGGGAGGGGCAGTGCTCCTTATTCTGAAACCAGGCCGCTTATAACTTTAAAATCGCTAGACGCGCCTTTTTAAGTACATGAAATAAGCTCTCAGGTCCTACCACACTCCCGCTAACTAAACTCGATGTTTCCCGATTCCAAAGACGCTTTGGCAAAAGCCGAGTGCGGGCTTGAGGTGCGTCGGCAGATGCTAACGCCATAAACAATGCGTGGTCTTGATTCCCATAACGAGATAACCCTACTTACAAAGTCTAACTGCTAACCTCAATCTAACTGCTTAATAAGATCTAAATGAATCAGTTACTACCTTCACCATAAAGTAGTAAACACATTCAGTCAGACACCGGACACTACGAATTACAGCTAACATCTAACACGCCACATTTCTACCGGTCATTACAACTTGTCAATGAACTAGTGCAGTCTAACGGTCTGGTCACAGCAACGTCCATGTCACACAAGATAGATAGACAGATAGAACGAACGAACGAACTTGACTTTCAAAGGGTCACAAAATGGGCACACTGGCCTGTCCTTCATTCAGCCCTTCCAAACACCTGTCTTTCACACAGCAATTGCATTTTATCAATAAAGCATGTTAAATTCATATAATAATATACATATTGAGATTATTAAAAAAAAAAAAAAAAAAAAAAAAAAAAAACATGGGTGGTAAAATGCATGCACAGCCTATAGCACGTATACACACTCCTTCATACACGCACCCACCCACTAACTTAAACACGCATATATACTCACCCTCATACACACACACACTCACTCACACACCCATATACATCCATACACACACACATTTCACACACAAACATACATACAGGCACATACGCGCGCACAGACACACCCACAGAAACACACCCAGACACACACACAAACAAAAACACACATGCGCACAAAAACACACACACACACACAGATACACACAGACACACACAGATATGTTCACACACATACACACACAGACACACAAACCCGCAGACACACATTCATACAGACACATACGCACATACACACATGCACAAACACATACAGAAGCAGACACACACACAAACACCCACACGCAGATACACACACAGATAAATTCACACACAGACACACATCCACAGTCACGCACACGCAGACACACATACACACAGGCACCGACACACGCAGATACACAAGCACACACATAGACACACATGCAGACAAGCACACGCAGACACACAGACGCGGGCAGGCAGGCAGTTAGACCGACCCACCGAGCGACCGACAGACAGATGTATATATATATATATATATATATATATATATATATATATATATAGGGAGAGAGAGAGAGAGAGAGAGGGAGAGAGAGAGAGAGAGAGAGAGAGAGAGAGAGAGAGAGAGAGGTGTGTGTGTGAAAGACACATAGGAGGATTCTGAAATGACTTGCGGACTCATTCATTTGAGTCTTCGCTGCAGTGAAATCCTTGCTGCCAGTAGGATTCGATCATTTTCCCATCAGGTTAACAGTAAGAGTACCGGTGACCACGCCACCCGGATCTCACATGTGCCATACTATTTTTTTTTTTAAATTGACCTTGTATGTCACAGACCCTCTGGTTCCCGGGACTGACTACAAATTTGGAGTGCGGCTGCGTAATAAAGGCGGAAGTGACGTGTTCAAGATCGTGGGAGCTTGGGACAATTCTGAAGTAAGTTATGTCTTCCACAACTGGTGACAATAAAGCAGGTTGCCTCAAAGGGACGTAAGAGAAATGGGTTACAATGGGGCATTATTCAGCGAAGCAGATGAAGTCTCTGGGGATCACTGGAAAACCTCTAAACCACAAGAGGGAAGAGAGTTGAAGTCTTAGATTGAGAAGGAGTAGAGAGAGAGAGAGAGAGAGAGAGAGAGAGAGAGAGAGAGAGAGAGAGAGAGAGAGAGAAACAAGGAAGGTACATGACAATAAGAGTATGATGTGGGAAGGGGGGGGGGCGGTATAAGACAGAAGGAGGAAAAGGAATGGTGGTTGTGGTAGTAGTTTTACTGGCTGTAGTAGTAGTAGAAGTAGTAGTAGAAGTAGTAGTAGCAGCAGCAGCAGCAGCAGTAGTAGTAGTAGTAGTAGTAGTAGTAGTAGTAGTAGTAGTAGTAGTAGTAGTAGTAGTAGTAGTAGTAGTAGTAGTAGTAGTAGTAGTAGTAGTAGTAGTAGTGGTAGTAGTAGTCGCAGTAGTTGTAATATTAGTAGTAGAAGTAAAAGAAAAAAAAAAACAACAACAATAAAAGTAGTATTATTAGTAGTAGTGGTGGTGGTGGTGGTACGTGCAGCAGCAGCTACAGTAGCAGTAGTAGTAGTAGAAAAAGAAGAAGGAGAAGCAGAAGAAGAAGAAGAAGAAGAAGAAGAAGAAGAAGAAGAAGAAGAAGAAGAAGAAGAAGAAGAAGAAGAAGAAGAAGAAGAAGAAGAAGAAGAAGAAGAAGAAGAAGAAGAAGAAGAAAAAGAAGAAGAAGAAGAAGAAGAAGAAGAAGAAGAAGAAGAAGAAGAAGAAGAAGAAGAAGAAAAAGAAGAAGAAGAACATCAACAACTACTACTACAACAACATCATCAACAACAACAACAACACGAACAAGGAAAGCAGGAAGATTAAGAGCACGAAGAGGAGGTTTGATGTAGTTGCAAAGTGCCTTAGAGCTAAACAAAAGACGTGAAGTATTGGAGCATAGCACATTAGTGTTTCTTGTCCTTTCCTTCCACAGATGAATTTATGTCAGTCCATTCAATCATCCGTATGCCTGTCTGTCTATCTTCCTGCTTGTTTGCGTGTGTGTCTATGTTTATTAGATCGTCACTAAGCTGCAATAAAAAAATTATCTATCAATAAATCTGTCAATGATCTTCAGTATTTCAAGGTGATGATCGCTCCCAGCACTCTAAAGGTGGAACAGAATCAAATTGCTCATGTTGCAATGGTTATCAGCGTCAAGGCGTCAATTTACTTTATCATGAAAGGGTAACATTCTCAAACTGTACTGTCAATTATTTCAGCTTGTAGAGTAAAGTAGTCGGCTATGTGGCTAAGTCGATGCGAACGCTTCGTAATGCCGGGTTGTCGGCTTAGATCCGAGCTGCGGGCCATGCGCCTTGCGTTGTTTTCGACAGTGGTATCAAGAAGGCCGATCGTCCAGAAAGCAATGGCAAACTACTGGACGTAAATTTGCCTAGAAAACCATACAACAGCCAGGGGCTGTTGGGGTTGGTTCTGCAACCTCCTGTAAAGGATACGCAACAACCTTAGAGTAAAGTAAATGTCCGTTTTCCACGCTTTTAAGCCGGTCGCCTTTACTTCCCAGGACTGCATCTGGTACCCACTCAAGGCTGGGTCGACATGGGAGTCAATGTCATTAAAAAAAGTCAGGCTTCTCCAGGACGCGAACCCACGACCTTCCGATCATCAGGAGGGGCGTCTAGCCGCGAACGCCACGTCGACTGCCAGAACTGGTAGAGTACATCGGGAAAGAAATCAAACAATTATTTTGCGAACAATTTTCTTCTTCTTGCTCTAAATCATCATAAACATATCTTCGCATTTAAATTAAGTAAAGTAACTTTTCCCCGCCTCCAGGTGTGTCAGGCATATAGGGCATGACCTATATTTATAGAACAGTCAATGCCTAATGTATGATGTGGTCAGCATCACGCAGCCGCCTTTACTTCGTAGGACTGTACCTGGTACCCACTTAAGGCTCCTATATCAAATCACTAAAAGAAGAATATAAATACTCTGCACTGACAAGAATCAGTGTTTTCATACACCCACCACAAGACGAATGTTTACATTTCGTTACTATGTGAACAAAATGTTGTTTTGTGCTTCAATTTAAAACTGTGAAATTATAATTAACCTTTATCACTCGGAACAGGAAATATATTGATCTCATTAGAGGAAGTCATTCTGTGATTTGTTAAAACTTTCACAAGTGTGCACGTCTAAAGTTAACAATTTCAACAGTTAGTTGCGTATCCTTTACAGGACGTTGCAGAACCAACCCCAACAGCCCCCGGCTGTTGTGTGGGTTTTCTAGTCAAATTTACGTCCTGTAGTTTGCCATTGCCTCCTGGACGGTCGGCTTTCTTGATACCACCGTCGAAACCAATGCAAGGCGCGTGGCCCGCAGCTGGGATAGAAACCTGCATCCCGGCATTACGTAGCGTTTGCATCAACTTAGCCACAGAGCCGACTTTTTATTAAACCTCGCCTAAATAACATCTTCGTCACGTGCCTTGCCGACTGGCGTAGGCGTGAATGCATCTCCACACGTCTCGATCCTATGTCCTGTGGATCAGTTCCACTGATGATATCCCTCCTTACTACCGTCGCAGTCCATCCGTTATCATTTCTCTTGGTCTGCCTCTCCCTCTTCTACCTTCCCAGTCGTCATGACATTCTTCAAAGCTTCTCTCCCCCCCCCCCCCATTCTCCCTTATCACATGACCACAGAGTAGTTCTTGTCGTTTCCCTATATCCCCAGTAGGAAAGGCAAATTTTTTGCTATTTAAAAACCCCACCCCGGCTGTAGTCAGGAGTTTAAAAATAACCTAACGGTTGAACGGGGTTTCTGGGACTTGCGACATCCAAATAGTGGCACTTTGTGTCACCGCGTGCTTATTGCTAGTTGTGCGGTCCTGGTGGGTTTGAATGTCACTTCATTACCGTTATGCACATATGCGATACAAATATCAAGCATGTATTTGTATAAATATTTAAATATCTGAATGAATGGGAAAAAACCAAGGTTTTGTGACTCATTTGCCAGAGCACTGACGGTTACTGCCAGCAGGCTGTCAGATAATGTCACGGACACATTGACTGAGTCCATGATCGGAGAGCCAGCTAGCTTCCTTCAAGACTACGAATCGCCCGCCTGCACGTAAGTGGAGCCATTGTTGTCATGTATGTATACATTTACGTGGACTATACTCCATTGTTATGGCGGTGAATCATGGACATTAGGAGATTAGGTTTTCCAGACGAATTCCTATAATTGCTTGGACAAACGTTAGCACCAACCCAGATGTTTTAAAAGAAGCCACAGCTCGAAGAGAACTTTTCATAAACATCAGACAGAGACAGTTGCCATTTTTGTTTGGGAGGTCATGCTATGAAAATGAAACTGGAGCATGTTTTGACCACTAGAAAAGTCCGTGGGGAAAAAGAGGCAGAGGAAGTCAACGCCAGAAGATTCTTGACAGCTTTTTGTGACTGGCATGGCACACGAACTAAACTAGCTGTGGAAGATTGCAGATTGTGTATAAGCATTATCGCCAACACTAGTCGGCACGGCAATTGATCAGCATGAAGATGATGCTAAAACACGATTTATCTGGCTTCCTTTTATCTATTTATTCCGCAACACAGTATCAGTTATAAACGAATTCTGGCTTCCTTTTCTCCATTTATTCCGCAACACAGTATCAGTTATAAACGAACTCTGGCTTTCTTATCCTTGGCCAATTGTGGTCAGTGTACAGCACGTCTATATCCATCTTTTCCCTCGTATTCCGCCAGTGGGTTCCGGGGCGCCAGTTTAGAGGCACCTATACACCCACTGCCGCCCCACACGCATGGCGTCAAAAGCGACTGATTATGAATGTACTAAAATCGGATTGTTGCCTAACTGTATACAGCACATAAGGGCCAGACAGACAGACAGGCAGGCAGGCAGGCAGGCAGGCAGACAGACAGACAGACAGACAGACAGACAGACAGACAGACAGACAGAGAGATAGAGAGATAGAGAGACAGACAGACAGACAGACAGACAGACAGACAGACAGACAGACAGACAGACAGACAGACAGACAGACAGACAGACAGACAGACAGACAGACACAGACAGACAGACAGACAGACAGACAGACAGACAGACAGACAGACAGACAGACAGACAGACAGACAGATAGACAGATAGATAGATAGATAGATAGATAGATAGATAGATAGATAGATAGATAGATAGATAGATAGATAGATAGATAGATAGATAGATAGATAGATAGATAGATAGATAGATAGATAGATAGATAGATAGATAGATAGATAGATAGATAGATAGATAGATAGATAGATAGATAGATAGATAGATAGATAGATAGATAGATAGATAGATAGATAGATAGATAGATAGAGCAATAATAAGAATAACTGCAATCATTTGTGCCCTATTATATTACCGATTATCTCCCTTACATTAAAGTAAATCCAAATGTATGTACTAGCCATCTTACCCTCCTCCGCTTGTTGCCCAAAAAATTGAGATCAAAAGATTAATCTGGACGGCAGACAAAAAGGAGCTGCAAGTTTGACACCGTAGGACTAAAACAGTCTCAGTGGTGCAGCCCGAAACGGCAAGCCTTGATACCTTGTACAGTCTTCACTGAAGTTATTCTTGCTCTTATGTTCAATTTCTGATCTGCACCGACCGACGAGTACAATAATGACCAGCCAATGCCGGTAAAGTAAGTCATCGCTGGCCTAGTTCTGTCCACTTCTGATCTGGACGACCCTTTTATTCTCATGGTATGTTACTGCGTTCTCTAAGGAACTTATAATCGGCCCCCACCTCCTCCGCCTTCACCGCCCCCTTAGTCTCACTCGGGGCACCCTCTATTTCACTGTCTCCATCTGTTTGTCTCTCTCTCCCTCACTCTTTGTCTCTCTATCTGTTTCTTTCCCCTTTATATTTTCCTCATCTATCTATCCCTTTCCTACAATCCCTAATTGCCTTTCTTATTTGTCTCTATTTATCATTCTTCCATACTGTCTGATTCTGTCCCTTTTTTATCTCCTTGTCTCTTATTATTTTAAATTTGTTCTCATCAACTCTCAACTTTTCTGCTCCCGTCATTACTATGTATACCTTTTCTCGCCTCCCACTATACCTCTTTCTCCTCTCATTCTTGTCCGTACATTTCTCTCTACTTCGCTCTCCCACTATCTCTCCACCAAGTCTTCTTTATACCGCTTCTCCATACTTCCCTCCCCCATTCTCTCTCCACTCATTACTCTCTTTTTAATCTTCATCCCTCCTTTCCTCTATCAACCCGTCTCTTCTATATCTTCTCTATACAGTTTCTCCTTACCTCCCTCTCTCAATCTCTCACCTGTCGATTAACTCTATATATTTTCTCCCTAGTTCCTTTCCCCAGTCAGTCTCCACTCATTCCTCTCTTTACCTTTTCTCTCTGATCCCTATACTCTCTTGTAACACTGAACACTTATTCCTCTCTTTACCTTTTCTCTCCGATTCCTATACTCTCTTGTAACATTTATTAAATTTCATACAACACCCAGTAACACCGAGATTCTTGATTCCAGAACCACATCAACAACGGGAGGCTGCCGATCTAACCTTCCCTGCCAAGCCCAGATGTGGACGTCGTCAGTGCTGGTTAGTGACAGCTTGACCGGTGTCCGGTCTGCCGTATTTCTGGACCCGCCACAGGGAGCCTTCAATAACGTCCAGTTCTTGTACTCCATGACCAATAGAACGGCTAGAGCCGAGTACGGGTAGGGGTGATAATAATTACGGTTCTTGTAGTTGTTGTTGTTGTTCCTCCTATTCCTCTTCTTCTTTTTCTTTTTGATCATCTTCTTCTTCTTCTTCTTCTTCTTCTTCTTCTTCTTCTTCTTCTTCTTCTTCTTCTTCTTCTTCTTCTTCTTCTTCTTCTTCTTCTTCTTCTTCTCCTCCTCCTCCTCCTTATTCTTCGTCTTCTTCTTCTCCCCCTCCTCCTACCCTTGTTGCTCCCCATTATTCTGGTGTACAGCTAAATACAGAACACTGGTCTCAGATTCAGCACTGCAGGTATGAGAAGCACACCAATTAATGAGCTGGAGGCAACCTGTGGTCTCGAGAGCTTGAGCCTTCGAAGGGAAGAAAAGGTGCTTACCATAACAGAAAAATGTAAACGCGTGAACAACAACCCCATGCATAGAATAGCAAATAACCAAGAACCGACTGAAAAGACAAGGCTTTCACCATCTATCAAAACTGTACTCTACAAAAAACAGTGACATCCTTTATAAAGATCCTTCAACATGGGAAATGATCCAGGCATACAGCATAGACTTACAGCCTAACTATACAGTCACAACAACAATTCCAGGCATAGACAGAAAGGCTAAAGAATGTGACCTAGTACTGCGTGCAAAGACCCTTGAACATGTCTTCAACTGTTATCCAAAACCCGAATGGGCACAGGTATACACCGATGGATCATTGGAGAGAGCAGACAACAATGGAGGAGCAGGATCGATCATCATGCTGCAAGATGGGACCACAGTAGAAACGTCATGCGCCTCCGGAATACTCTCAACAAACTTCAGAGCAGCAAGCAATTATTGATTTCACCACAGTGCTCGGGGAAAGAAAAATTAAAAACAGCAAAATTGTTTTTCTTTGTGACAGTCCTCCAGGCGACTCATAGGGATCCACGAGACAACATGGAAAGAGAACAAACCCGTCAGCTGAACAGACTCACAGAAAACAAATTGTTCCCCAGTGGATCCCGGCTCACTTCGGAATACGAGGAAATGAGTTAGCACACAGACTTGCAAAAAATGGAACAAAGGAGAAACAACACACCCATTCATTGTCATTACAAGAAATCAGAATACTTATCAAAGGAAAATACAAGGGATTGTGGAGAGAACAAACTAACAGTAAACACCCACAAGATGCCATCAGCAGACTCAACAGAAAGCAACATACAACAATATTCCATCTACAAACAGGACGCTGCAGGCTCAACTACCACATGCATAAAATAAAGACTGTACAGTCACCACAGTGTGCCAGTGAGACAGGACCACAAACATCTGAGAACATTCTGCAGACCTGTCCACTCTACCTGCAACTTCGAAAAGACACCTGGCCTCAAGAGCAGGGTGTGCAGAGCAAGCTATGGGGGACCATGCAGGACCTGCAGCTGACATTCGATTTCATAGTGGCAACCCACCTGATGTTCTGATGTGAGCATACGAAACCGAACGCAAAGAAAAAGAAGAAAAAGGTGTACAGCTGGCCTGCGATATCTACTCATTTTGGCTCAACATTGTCAGCAAATCTTTAATTGGCTGTAGCTCCCCCTTCCCGCCCTCCCACTCCTTCAAACAGAGGCAGTAACAGCATATTTTTGTTTTGTTTTTGTTTTTGTTTTTTGTTTTCCGGAGTTATCTTCCAATTTCTGCAAAACTTCTGGCGTCAGATGGCATGACTGTACGATAATAGTTGAATCGATTGAATTGCTTAAGAATGTTTAAATGTGCATGGATTTCACAGCATGGTATTCACTGACAACAATAATTTACATTCACAGATACACTTGCTGCAACATGGAAGCCACACTTCTAGCATACGACTACTCCAAAAACCCGTCTTACTGTAAACTCATCGCCCCGATTTTAGACCCACAGACCTCCACAACTTTACAGTACTCACAAGTTGCCAGTAGTTTCAATAACAATCTTACTTCAGACAGTGCATTTATATCACCAACTACAACTCCTACAACACGATATATCCCTAACAGACAAAGTGTTAGAAGCACGTTTTTTGAGGGCGGTTTGTCTAGATGGACTCCAAATTCGAGTACTTCTGTGTCAGCACACAATGGTACCATTCGTGCAACGGTAACCGGAAAGACAGGTCACACTCCAGATTTTCAGCCAGGTGGACGCCAAACTGCTGTTCCTACTGCTACATCTGGACACTCTTTGGGCAGAAAAACGACCCCGTGGAAATCTTTAACATCTGCGACATCGTTAAATACCCTAGTTACGGATACAGTGAGATCTCAAGGATCAACAAACAGCAGTGTCCTTTTGGCGGAAGGAAACGTAAGTATTGATGTTTTTATTAGTTATGTTTTGATTTCAGTAGCACGAGGAACACATTCAAGTTACGTATTTTAATTTCTAATATTATTTGAGTTTTAACAAATGCCAGTGACGGTTTGAGAACCACTGCGGTCGGAGGATGCACCACAGGCTTGCCAGATGTCTAGGGGGATTTGTTTCTAAATGTCCGTCCTGGATCAAATCTATCCCCTAACCATGCCGCCCACTTCCCTTGGCACGGCACATGCTAATGCTGATTATAATCGGAGTTAAGGAGGGCCAACTCAACAAAAGCACCACTAGAAGCTAGGCACACTTAGCATGTCGTATGGTAACAATTAATATTGTCTAAAACTACTGTAACATAATACACCACGCCAAATATGATCTTGGTGCGACTCAGATGAGTGGTGGTCGATGGCTTATTGCAAGTCTACTACTGCCTTCCAAATATTCACATCAACAGTCTTTCCAGACAGGGTCAAAACACTCCAGAAGATATCATCATCTACACAGATGGATTCGTGAAGCGCGGATCAAGGTCAGCATGGGCATACACAGCGCAAAGAAGAGGGAGAACAATACAGGAGGACAGCGGCGCTTACAGGCAGTAATTATATCAGATTCCATGAATATGCTTTAGAAGATAGCAACAGGCGGTATGAGCTCTGAATGGAAAGCATTTGAAAATCGCACTTAACCTCCCTCACCTGGATCTAAACACCTGGTTATGCGGACGTAAAGGGAAATGAGCGAGCGGACCAACTGGCAAGCATTGCACTAAAGCATGTGGTTAGAAGCATGGACAGAGCAGATATCGTAAACGCTGTACGGGCTGGGCTAGTGGATAATGAGGAATCCCTGACACTAACACGATTGCGTGACATGGGAGTAAAGCATTGTGAAGCACGTTTATGCCATCTTCGAGGCCGAGATAGGAGACAATATAACCAGCTTCTCATGGGAACACTTAGTAAAAGTACTTTGGAGTGGCTGCTGCATCAGAGGACTGAGCACGCATAGGAATGCCCAATGTGCAGTGACGTCGATTGTAATAACATAACTCCAGCGAACTATGCACAAGATGCCGGCTATGGGCGAATCACACCCGATCGCTGAGATACACCCATGTGGTGTGCAATGACAATTCACTTACGATTCTGCCTAAAGGCCCTGTCACCAAGGACTCAAGGCAGATGCAGCGCTTGGTGAAAGACTTCAGACCTCCCGAATGCCCCCACAGCCACTCGTTGAAGCATAACTAACATTCCGTTAATCAGCCGCCTATACCTCCCCATCACAGTTCGACGCTGGTCAACACACTCTAAGTTCCCCAGCGTGCTCAATAGCCGCACATGTGCCGACCCCTCTATACGCATGGTCGCACAACCCTCAATTTCAATAGTTACATTGGTCTCTCCACCAACCGCCCATTTACACACTAGCACACTTCTGATTGGTTGACCTTCAGCCTAGCTAACTTTTGATTAGTCGACCTTGAGCCACGCGACATTAGGTCACTTTCACGGGGGTGTTCCGTTATACCGTTGACATCGCGTGTTGTAAATTTCACCATGCCAGAGGCTTTAACACTCCTAAAACATCGACAACTGGGTCTAACACACAACCCCTTTAGAGAATGATGAAACCTATGTCACAGGCAGTCTCTTTCTAGGAATAAAAAACGTAAATGCAATACAACAACATTCCGCCACACCTATAAGCTTGGCCAGAATAGACTAGTCCAACAAACTTATCAATGGAACTTGACCTACTTTCCTTGGGGAGACCAACGTTTCAATAAGCCCGTCAATTATCAAAATTCCACTAACAGGATTCCTCGCCCAACTCGGATCCACCAGTCGTCCGGACAGAATAAAACGTTGCTAAAACATAGTCCATGCATTCACTAGACTTTTACAATTGGAACGCACAAAGTCCACACGATTAGACTGACTGAAAGTAACTGACTCAAATTACCACGGGACTTTTCCCAACCGCGGTCAATTCCGCGTGAAATTCACTTTCTCGCCAACACTCGGGGATCACAACCCACTTGTGCTGTCTATCCAAGCGGATCCCACAATATCCATGATGTCCTCAAGTTAGTCATAAACTTAGAGCGACACATCCCACCCCCCCCCCCCCCCCCTCTTCCCCCTCAGTAGCTCATGCTCAACTATCTTCCAGTGACCCCACATGTTTACATTGACAACCTGTCAAAGGACATGAATGCCCGTATGATACACACTCTTTCCCTAGCCCTTGCTTTATTAACTCTTTATACATCACAGTTAATTTCGCAAGCAATGAAGATATGGAACTAAAGTGGACCCGAGAACTAGATAACAACCGGCAAAATTGCTGGAAAAAAGAACAAGGGGACAGCAAACATTTGAATACCGAGGTGACTGAGCTTATATAGTAGATTAATATGGAAAATGGCATAGGGATCATTATGAAGTACATTAAGAAGTACATAAAAAAGTACATTATAAAGTACATTAAGAAGTGCATTAAGAAGTACATTAAGAAGTATATTAAGAAAACAAATTGAAAAGAACATTTGAAAAAGGTTTAAAAAACGTTTAAGAAGATTGAGGGAAAGATTTAAACGTTTAAGAAGACTGAGGGAAAGGTTAAGAAGTACGCTATGTTACTATATATTGTGAGATAAAGATTACCAATAATATTAAATAGATTAAGTTGTAGATTGAAAGGATTAGGAGGCAGATTGACAATACAAGCTAAAAGAAGAACAACATGAGGTAGGTAGGTGCTTTCCTGAAGGAAACAAAATCCACACGTTCAACCAGCATCCCCGAAAGGGTAGCTTTAGGTTATAATTGTGACCAGGTTATAGGCGCTATATAAAATAGCCTAGCATTGCACGCCACGAGGATCCATGAAAAGGACTCCAGCAGTCTTGATGCGATTATAGAAAACAGATCCAAATACTGTCCCGATCATCGATGAAGTATTCTACTGGCCTACCCGGTCGCCGATGAACAGAAAGAAAATTACGGAAGAAAATTACATTAATAGTCATAATTACAATGTATTACAATATTGCTTAAAGTTTTGACGTCGTTTCTTTAACAGCATGGAAATCAGCACAGCGTGAACGGAGTGGGTTCGAGAACTCTAAGACTTGCAGCTATAGTCTGTGGGTCACTTGCCGGAGTGGCCGGGCTGGCTATTGCTGTCATCTGTGTGGTTTTTAGGTGTATGGTCAAGCACCAGCGTGATCGGCCTTGGCGACGAAGGAGCAACGATAGTGACGTCACCATGGGCAGTAGTTCGGAGACGAGATCTGTCGGCAGTTACAGTGCTGACAGCATAAAAATGTCTAGAACAGACAGATCTGTCAAAATTTTTAGTGCTGACAGCTTACAAATGTCTAGAACAGACAGATCTGTCAAAATTTATAGTGCTGACAGCATACAAATGTCTAGAACAGACAGATCTGTCGAAAACTGCACTGCTGAGAGTTTGGGGATTTCTAGAGCCGGCAGTTTTGTAGAAAGTTCTAGTGCTGACAGCTTGAAGATGTCTAGGACTGGAAGAAGCTGCAGAACTACTGGTAAGGAATCTGCAAATTTTAATAGTATAGATGCTGTGAATCCAGTTCAAAAGTCGCGTACTTTGTTAAATGATACAGATTCCAAGGATGCAAAGTTTCAATGTTTGGAAAAAACTGAGGATATTACAAAAACCAAACTGGATGCCCCGAAAAGAGACAAAGCTGAATGCAAGAAAGCAAACATTTCGTCCTTACCAAGGGAGAAGTCTGCCAATTGCGCAACAGCAATTCGAGCGGTTTCTTTAAAAAGACAGGAAGTTGAAGATGTGATCTTCAGATGTGACGTTGTAGAAAAAGCGAACGCGACCGAAGACGGAGCTGCAGGAATTTGCTCAGGTACGGGAGGGGACGAAGCTAGTAAACAATCGTACAGTCTACTGCTAGGTTCTGGCGGGAAAACTTACAGTAGCATGCTTCAAGTTCAACAACAGATAGAGGCGATGGAGAACCAGAGACGGATTCTTTCCTCAGCAGCCAGTCAATATTCACCAGCATGTACTCTTCCAAGAGTTGCAATCAGAGGTTCTGATGATGCAGGGGATGAAGTGGGAGCAACAACTGCAAAATTAGATCAGTATCAAGAACCAAGCACGGCAGCCAGTCAATATCTATCTGCTAGCACTCCTCCAAGTATTGTAATCAGACGCCTCGATGCATGGAATGAGATAGGACCAGCAGCTGCACGGTTGCGTCAGCATCAAGAAGGCTCCTCCTACAACGAAGGTCCTCCGGGATCTCCTCAATTCAAGAACTGTCATGTCTACGCCCCAGTCCAAAAACTCACTCCAGTACAAAACCTTGCCACAGTTCAAAACAACATCCCAAACAAAAACCCAGAAATATGTCTTATTCGAACCACAGACCAACGCGTTGAAATGCATAACGCTCCAGGGGAAAATCAAAACCAATATGATGTCTATTGTCCAGGCAACAAAAGTTTTGTACCAGAAAGTGAAAGAAAATATATTCAGATAACATCAGATAGCACGGAACCATATTCTAAGGAAGACACTCCACGTTACCACAGATTCCAGCGAGAATCAGTTAAGCACCAGGATTTCTCAGGTGTTAGAACCAACGAGACACACACGTCACAAAACATTACACCAGGACCTGCTGACAGCACGAAGCGTAATGCAGAAGCTGCTCAGAATGTTGACAAGAATGACTTCAGTGGTTGTGATCTACGCTTTCATTCTAGAACAGAAAGTAGATGCAACTATAGAAATCTGACGCCTGAAGGCACCAGTCAACGTCAATATTCTGAAGGTTACAATCAGAAACAATCCAAACAATTACGCAGCCGAAAGCACTTTAAGATTTCTCAGACTGCACCAAATCATGATCCCAATAGTAAACTTATGGCACCAAAGAAACAATCTTATAAAGATAGTGGAAGAATTCATAATAACAAGCGACAAGATCATTATTCTAGCAATGAATCTGGGACATCAGAGAATCCACCTTATCAAGAAGGAAGTATAACATTTTAGAATAACGAGCAACCAGATCAGTATTCGAGCAATGGAGTTTTTACACCAGACAATCCACCATATCAAGAAGAAAGAAGTAGATTTGAAAATAACAAGCGACTAGATCATTATTATGGCACTGATCTGGAGACGCCAGAGAAGCCGTCTGATCAAGAAGAAAGAAAATTTCAGAGTAACAAGCGACCAGATCATTATTTTAGCAACGCATCTTTAACGTCACAAGTGCCAACTTGTCATGACGAAGAAAATTCAAGAAGTGTTCAGAGTCGCAACAGACCAAATCTTTCAGTAGCCGCAGACGGAAACCAGGGATACTTGGACATCACTAACAGCAATTCTCCTTCACCCAGTCAGACACAAAGGATTAATGGGACTTGCGCCCAGTCGTCTGAATCAAGTCAGGTGTTTGTCCGTGTGCGTGAACAGACTTCTAGACAGAAGACACCGGTCTATGCCAACTCACGAGAAGCTACGGATAACGTTGTCTGCTTTGATGCTTATACTAATAAGGAAATCAGCGAAAAAGAGACAAATACACCCAGAGTAGCAATGTCATCGATACCCACTCCTACCCAAACTCCTTCAAATTCAAGATCAGACAGCCCTGACCCCCGCTACCTACAACAGGAAAATGGGTCAAGGATTGTGTCAGAGGCCAACCAGATGGCTCTGCGACATGACATCGATCACATCCGGCAGAAACTGTTGAAGTTCCGAAGAAGAATCGATTTTGAAATCGAAGAGGAGTCCAGAAGGTCAGACGGGAACAGCTCGTGCCTTTCCGACAACTAAAGTCAAGCGCTTGGTGTGATGGTGTGCTCCAAGTTGGTCTCACACCTCCACCCCACCGCCTGGTGCATCAACCTAGACAAGGATACCGGGTCAGGTCGTCTCTAATGTCCGTCTTCGGGCTAATCGCGACGCATGACACTGATCACATGACTTCTGTCCAGTGCCGGACCAGCCATAGCAACAATATTGTCTGCAAGATAACCTGCATTCTGGTTGCTACGAGCACCCGCATCATCCGACACATAGATAAATGCTCATCATCATCATCATCATCATCATGTGCCCTGCCAGCTGGCGTAGGCGCTCATGCGTCTCCACAGATCACGATCCCTCTTTGCCTGGAACAGCTCTTTGATGATATTCTTCCATGCCATCGTTTCAGTCCATCTAGCATCATCTCTCTTGGTCTGCCTCATCACCTTTTTCAACTGATTTTTCCAGTTGTCACAATGTTCTCCAATGTCTCTCTTCTCATTATGTGGTCAAAGAACAGTGTTTGTCACTTTCTTATTGTTGTATTTAGAGATTTACTTTATTATGCGCCCTTTTTTTTCAAGAGATGAAGGTTAGGCCAGCTATTCTCGAAATGCGTAGTGATACAATCCTTTCTTGTAGAGTGTTGCCAGTTCGCCATTAGCTGGTTGCGACTACCACTGCTCACTACAACACAACATCGTCAGGAGAAAAAACAAGTAGAAACATCAAACGTAGCTGGTATCTTTTGACATATGGTGGTGGCTGGTGAGAGGAGCGGCTGACCGAACTGATGAGAAAACAGCGCTGTCATGCGGGAGATTAGGGTTCGAATCCTGGGTGAAGTGGGTTTTTTTCTGTCGGAGGGAAAAAAAGGAATCCTAACCAGCGCAGTCCGTGGCGACAGCACTGGCCACGCGATCTTAAATATACTCAGGTTTAAGCCCGGCTCGCTAGCGTAGTTGGCTAAACCGGACTGTGCGGCGACCTGGTGACGAACTCCTTGTGGTCCGGGTTCACGCCTGGGGGTAGGCAGAAAAGCCACATTTCTCCCAGATTTACGGTATTTACAATAGAATCAAGGCGAAAGGTTGCGATATCCATAATACACAGCCTAAGGGTTAACAACACATGGCTTCTGGATACTGAAAAAAAAAAAAAATCGGGTTTAAAGATTCCTCCTCCCCCTTTGTGTGTGTTAGTGGTGAGAAAGAGCGGCTTCCGTGACTCAGGCATTACGTGTCGGACTCGTAATTCCAACGTACCGCCATCCAAACCCACTGCTGGCTGCATGGATTTTTAATTTGGTATGGGGCTTCGCAGGTCGACCCAGCCTAAAATGGGTAAAAAAGTTTTTAAAAGTAAAGATCCCTTATTACGCCTTAGGCGCATCGGGCATATGGGCAGAGGGTCCCATATTTTTACAGACCAATCGGCACTGGATGGGTAATGTGGTCAGCATTACGCTGGCCGTCTTTACTCCCCCAGGACAACCATCCTGGTACCCATTTGAGGCTGGGTCGACCTGCGACGCCCCATACCACGATAAAAATCCACGCAGCCAGCAGTGATTTTCGATTGCGCTATGTTGGATTACGAGTCGGACTCGCAACGCGTTAGCCTAAAATAGACACCCAGGGTGTATGCCCTAGGGAAGTAAAGACGGCCGGCGTAATGTTGACCACATTTCCTACCTAGTTCCGATTGGTTTATCAAAATATGAGATGCTCTTCCCATGTGCCCGATGCGCCCACGACGTGAAAGGGGATCGTTACTTTACTAGTGATGAGAAAGAGGATTTTTTATCCCGTCTTGTTGGCCTAGCACATGTGGTGACTTCACAGTTTTAACCACGGGGTGACATTGATGATCTTGTTTGACATTAATGTCACTGTGATTGGAACAGCTGGTCACATCATTATAAATTCAAATGTCATTCTCCGGACCACACAGCTCACTGGGTATCCCATATGTTGTTGACATAAACATATGTTTCAAATCCCTTTGTGCAGTTAGTACTGGGTATTTTTATGTGAATTTCACCAAAATATTAATTTGTCCATACAATTTATGTCTCGATACGTCAGTTTTCTTCGGTTTAATTATTTGTATTCAAACTGTTCCAAAAAGAATTCTTGCTTGCTACATACATCTAGTTTTAAGATATGGCTGTGAGTCCTGGACAATCGGTAGACAGGTCAAACAATTTCTTGAGGCCTTAGAGAAATGGTTTTACAGAAGGATGCTTAAAATACATTGGACAACTAAAAAAGAGCAGCCATTAGGTTTTGAAAGAGGCGGGAACCCGAAGACAACTTATCACAGACATCAGAAGGAGAAAGTCATAATTTGTTGGCGTCCGTGGCTAAGGCGTTGCGAGTCAGACTCGTAATTCCAACGTACCGCGATCGAAACCCACTGCTGGCTGCGTGGATTTTTATCCTGGTATGGGGCGTCGCAGGTCGACCCAGGCTAAAATGGGTACCCGGATGGCTGTCCTGGGGAAGTAAATACGGCCAGTGAAATGCTGACTGCATTAGCCACCCAGTGCCGATCGGTCTGTATAAATCTGGGACGCTCTTCCCATATGCCCAATGCGCCTAAGGCGTGAAAAGGAATCTTTACTT